GATAAGTACCCTGCCTTTGATCACGCGTCTACAGGCCGCATCTACCGTGTAGCAGTGTTGGTTCGCAGACGACGCGAGTGGAGCTGGTCGTGTTACACAAATGAAAGATTGGTGAGATGCATTGAATACTCTTGGTCCAAACTTGGAATATTTTCCGAAAGATGAGAAATGCTGGAGTTATTGTTAAGCCCGAAAAGGAAGAAAGTGTGAGAGAAGTCTTCCATGGAACGGATATCAATGTAACAGTGCATGGGCAGAAACATCTGGGAGCAGCGCTAGGTTCACGAGAGTATCTGGAGGAATATGTTAAAGAGAAGGTCTCTAATTGGGTCAACGAAGTGACAGCATTCGCCGAATTTGCACTGTCCCAACCACAAGCGTCTTATGCCGCATACACATTTGGTTTGAAACATCGTTGGACCTACTTCCTAAGAACCCTGCCAGACATCCAGGACCTACTAGAGCCACTAGAAAAGGCAATATCGCAGATTCTCATCCACGCTATTACAGATCACCAGTGCAATCCACTCGATCGGGACATTCTAGCACTTCCAGCACGTCTGGGTGGCCTGGGCTTGGAAAATCCAAGTCATGAGGCAGAACGTCAGTATGTGTCGTCAAAAAGAGTGACAGCACCCCTTGTTGATCAGATTGTAGCGCAGTTACATCAGCTACCCGACGAGTCGCGTATAAAATCAGCGCAACAAGCCGTTAGAAAAGAAAGAGTGCAAGAGTAGGAGGAGAGGGCAGAACGTATTAGAGAGAGTGCACCACCAAGAATTCAGCGTATATTAGATGTGGCTTCGGAAAAAGGATCATCTGTGTGGCTCACAGCACTTCTCCTAAAAGAACAGGGATTCAACTTGAATAAGAGAGAATTTAGGGACGCCGTAAAGCTGCGCTATGATTGGCCAATCGACGACATCCCCTCCATATGTGTATGTGGGGATACCTTCACGGTTGACCATGCCATGATCTGCAAACGTGGAGGCTTTGTAATTATGCGCCACAATGAGTTAAGAGATCTGGAAGCGGAACTCCTCAACATTGTCTGTAGTGATGTCCAAGTTGAGCCTGTCCTACAAGACATCTCGGGAGAGCAACTAAATGGAGGCTCCAACAGAGCACCTGATGCTAGACTCGACATTCGTGCGCGTGGGTTCTGGGAAAGTCTACGTACGATCAGCCTTTTTTGATGTAAGGGTTTGTCATCCCAATGCTGATTCGTACAAGGACCTGGAGCTACGCCAAGTCTACAAGATACAAGAAAACGAGAAGAAGCGCCTATATGCAAGGAGAGTCCTCGAAATAGAGCAAGGAACATTTACGCCACTCGTATTCACCACCACAGGCGGTATGGGCAAAGAATGTGTGAGATACCATAGTCGATTGGCAGAGTTGGTAGCCATAAAGAAAGGAGAAGATTATGCGACAACTATGAGTTGATAAGAGCCAGAACCTCATTCGCTTTATTGAGATCGGCACTTACCTGCTTGAGGGGTTCAAGGGCAAGGAAAATCATGTATGATATTAGGAACATTGATTTTAACATTGAGAACGCCGAGAGTGCTATCTCTCAAACAATTTAGATTGTACAATATACAAAGTTTAATTGTTTAGTTATTTAGCGGAATATGTTAGTTTAGTTGTTTAACTACTTAGCGATAAAATATTTTAATTACGTAGCGGTATATGTTCCAGAGTTTGTTTTTAAAATTTAACTGTACATATCAACAAACATTTAGACACTTTTTTAATTATACCCAAAGAACAGATTATATAATATAGTCATTGATAACAAAAGCATTGTTGTATATAATGAAATGATGAATAAAGTTGTAATTTATTATTATTATTATTATTATTATTATTATTATTATTATTATTATTATTATTATTATTATTATTATTAGCATGACAAAATTACTGGATGCTGATTGGTCGAGAGGAGTACAATTATTTCATTAATTGTACTGCAGTAGGCACAGCCAGATTGTGCTCGGCAACTTTTTAGCAACTTTTTGGCCTCGGAGCAACTTTTTTGCTGACGAGCAACTTCGAGCAACTTTTCCAAAATTTTGCTTCTTTTTAGCAACTTTGAACAAATAGTCCGGAACCATAACTTAGAACATATTTATACTCCAATGTGAACCACTTAATTGAATAAACAAAATTCCTCCAGAATCGCCGTGTGCAAAAATTATGCTGAATCGCCGTGTGCAATTAAAAATTATGACTTGGCGAGGCTCTTGCAATTGTGATACGTTATGTGCAGGAGAATTTCAAGCCTACGCAGCGCCTAATATGCTTGGAAGTTCTTGCAAAGCCGCTAAAGGGTTCAGAACTAGCGCAGCGATTGATGTCGTGTCTTGCCGTAAATCATAACTTTGGTCCAAATATGGTACTCGCCACAATGAGAGACGGCGCTGCAGTTAATAGAGCTGCAATACGACAGCTGTCATTCTTTTATCCTAACATTTTTTATGTTACTTGTTTTTCTCATACCATTGATAATGTGGGAACCCATTTCAAATTTAGAGTTCTGGATATATTTTTTCGCCTTTGGATAAGTTTGTTTGCCAATAGCTATAATGCCAAACTTCTTTGGAAAGAGAGAACTGGCCAATCAATGCGCTCTTACAGTAATACACGATGGTGGAGTAAGTGGGAGGTCCAAAAACAAGTCTATGAATATTTTGGTGATGTCGTGCCCTTCCTGCGAGAAAATGAGAATCTCTCCCCTGCAACACGCCAACATCTTTTGGAGATAATTGACAACCCTCGCGATCTTCAGGATCTCCGTTTGGAGCTTGCTGTAATTGTTGACGCTGGTGTCCAATTTGTGAAGGCAACCTACTATTTGGAAGGTGACGGGTCGTTAATTTTCTCCTGTTACGAGCGTTTATCAGCTGTTAGTAATGCCATTGGAGTAGCCAATTTTCCAAGCACCTCTGCTATTGCTCGAGAAATTGCCAACGGTGACGTTGTGGTTCAAAACCAGCTCATTACTCAGGCAAAAGCATGTGTGCAACCCGGACTGCTTTTTTTTCAGGAAAAGTTCAGCGTGCAGTTCCACACAATTGTTCGCGCTTTTAAGGTATGCCTGTTATTAACTCGCATTCATTGTGGAATTACATGTTTACGTAAAACTAATATTTGATTTATCCTTGTTATATTCATTTCGAAATCAGAAAAAGTCTAAATTTATTTTAATAATAATTATATTATTACCGTTATTATTATATTGTAAAGGTCGCACGTCTTTGTTGCCCAGTTCAAGTCCAACAACTAAAGCCAGATGCTGCTGCACTCGAAGAATTTAGCAACTTTCCATTCGTGAATGACAACACAATAGCCAACTTAGCTAATGAGTTGCCAGATTATCTTGCGGCTGTTGATGGCGTCACTTTAGGCAATGAAGATGAAAAAGTTACCTGGTGGGCAGCACAACGCGAGACTTTACCACACTGGTCAGCTCTGGTGAAGCTAGAAGTTGCTTCTAATCCAGCCTAGCTCTGCTGCTGCTGAACGTGTGTTTAGTTTGCTTAACAGTATGTCATCGCAACAGGGAAACTCACTCGAAAATTACATTGAGGCATCTGTTATGGTCCGCTATAACAGCACTCAAAGAAAACACTAGGTTGCTCTCTAATAGGCTCTCTAATCGTATTGAAATTCCATAATTTTTTTCATTAGAGTTCCTGTTCACACTTGTTAATTGTTGTTTGGATGTATTGATGGCGTAAACCTTGTAATTATATAAAAGGAACTACAGTACATATGTTCCTTGATGTTAGAGTTTGAAATACTGTTACTTATGATGTCAAATGTGTATTGTAAATATAAGAACATTAGAGCAACTTTTGAGCAACTTTTTTCACTTTGAGCAACTTTTTGAGCAACTTTTCGAAATTTTGGAGCAACTTTTTGACATATTTTGAGCAACTTTTTCGAAATTTGGTAGCACAATCTGGCTGTGCCTAACTGCAGTACAACTAATGATTTTCCCAAAACAAACAAAATAATGATAATCCCCGAGCCGACGGCGCGAAGCGCCGTGCGAGGGTACTAATTCCCCCCGGCTATTTACATCCGGGGAAACGAAAGCATTAGCGAAGTCTAAAGTTCATCAATTATCGCAGGCGTGGGTCACCAACGGTGTTCGAGTGTTGGGAGTGTGGTCATCCTCACTGATCTCAAAAATATGGCGGACTGTCATAAATAGCGGACACTGATTGGTCCAATTTAAAGTTTACATTATAACGACTGCATGACGACAGCGAAATAGCAAACATTTCTTCATTTCTTGATTTGATGATTGACAAATTTCTTGCAAATATATTTCATTTTTGCTCGCATTTCAGCAATATTTTGTAAATTTCAAAAGGTTTCTCAGAAAGAATGGCCGAAAGAATCGGCTAAAAGAAGGGAGCCGACGTTAACGAAGGTAAGTTTGTTTTTAATATTGATTTTATAATGACTTTAAAACCCGACGGCCTTTGGCTTTGCGTATATGAAACAACTATTACAAGACAGCATATAATTTCAGTGTATATTTGATAATATTGATTCCCTTTTTTATTATATTGAATTTTTTAAATAACAAAGAAAGCGAAGTCATTTGCAAGCGAGAATTTGAAATCATTTTATTGCAAACTCAAAGTTTATCGATAAAGCCATTTAATTAAAGGCAGTTTAGTTTTATAAAGAACACTTTAAAGCATTTTGCGAAGCGTTTGTGGTTGAATTTTACCTTAAATTGAAGCTTATATTACGTATAATAACATACCTAACATATATATGTCGGGAAATTGATAATTTTGTAATTAAAAGTGATATTTTTAGGCGATTTTTCATTTGTAACAATATTCTCAAAAATTTTCGTGTTACCATGACAACTACTTTAGATACTTCATGTTCGGAAAATACAATGGTTTTGTCAGCAAGGCGAGGGTTTCTGCATGCATATGTATTTTCTAGTAATTTATTAATTTGTACCGCGCTAAAAGGAAAGGTATTTTAAACGCGAACGTGAAATGAAATTGCCCTAGAGGAACTACAAGAAAATACGAACAAAAGCACCAAAATTTGCTTTAACAAAAGAACTAAATGAAAATACGGACAAAAGTATCACATTTTGGTTGAATGTCTGGCAGGACTGGACTTTGACGACGGAATATGTTGACATTGAAAAGTATCCAATTTTGTCATTCTAATAATAAACAAGTAATCATGCGACGTTGCTCGTATAATTCGCAAAATTTCCAAACATCACTCGCACTATTAATCCCTAATTGTACTCACCTATCTTTAATATTGATTTCCTTTTTTATTATATTGAATTTTTTAAATAAAAAAAGTGAATTTATTTGCATGCGAGAATATGAAATCATTTCATTGCAAACTCAAAGTTTATCGATAAAGCCATTTAATTAATTTAAAGGCAGTTTAGTTTTAAAACGTTTTGCGTAGCGTTTGTGGTTGAATTTTACCTTAAATTAAAGCTTATATTACGTATAATAACATACCTAACATATGTATGTTGGGAAATTGATAATTTTGTAATTAAAAGTGATATTTTTAGGCGAGTTTTCATTTGTAAGAATATTCTTAAAAAGTTACCGTGTTACCATGACAACTACTTTAGATACTTCATGTTCGGAAAATACAATGGTTTTATCAGCAAGGCGAGGCTTTCTGCATGCATGTATTTTCTAGTTAAAAGTGATATTATGGGGGGGATTTTTCAATTTTAAAACTATTCTTAAAATTATCGTGTTACCATGACAACTACTTTCAATTCTTCATATTCAGAAAATTAACATAATGTTTTGTCAGTAAGGCGAGGGTTTCTGCATGCATGTATTTTCTAGTAATAATAATAATAATAATATGCGTTTGGTGTAGTACATCACAATTTAATCCAATCCGTTCTCGGCTATCATCATGTACATACCTCAATATATTCAACTCATGATTAAAAGCCTCTACACGAACTTTAAAACATGAATCATCACATCTGATTTTACCACCCCATTTGTAGAAGTAGGTTGTGGAGTTTTGCAGGGAGATTGCCTCAGTCCATTACTATTTAACCTATGCTTTAATACTTTTATCCAGCACATAAAATCGGAGAAATATCAACATTTTGGTTTTTCTATAAACTTCTCAACCCAGTTGGTTCCAATTCGCTGACGACGCAGCCGTAATAACCGGCAAGAATCTGAAAATCAACACCTACTAGACCGTTTTGCAATTTGTTGTCAATGGTCAGACATGATTATTCGAGTAGATAAATGAAGCACCTTTGGCATCAAAAAAGTTGTCACCAAATCAGTTCAATACCTCCCTATAAGTTAATCATTAACAAATCTATTATTCCGGCTATTGAAAGTGGAAAATTCATTCACTATAACATCAATGGCATTTCACTATAACATCAATTCAAAAAACGTGGATTTCTGAAAACTTGGACTCACGGTTTTCAAACAGTAGCCTACATTCGTAAATGGCTTGAGGTACCTATTTCTGGATCACTTAGTAATATTTACCTAACCAGCAACAAATTTGGTCTGAACATTATACCCCAATCAACTAAATTTGTACAATGTCAAACAACTATCCGCTGTGCTCTGAAGTCATCTCCCAATGAATCAATAACCCACCTCTGGAAATCGACTTGTAATCATACTAACACCCAATATGATCAGTATACGTCGACTTTTATAAACAGTGTTTTTAATCACCTTTTCAACGCAGAACAAATACCATATATACCATTATACCATATATACCATAAATACCATATATACCATTATATCATAAGTCATAACAAATGGCTTTATTGTAATAGTCATGAACCGTCGTGCTATATGCAATATCAGAAAGTTTCGCTGAATAGTCGAATTAATTCTATACATTTCCATATGTTCAAACATCTACCTGTTGTTGTAGCCGATGTTGGAGGAAGCGATGTTGTCGTCACATTTTCTCTTGGTAGATTCGTCGTTGCTTGAAATGTTATAGGAAAACTGTTAGAAAACAAGCATAATAAGATGGCTTGCTAATTTAGACATTCCATCTTTCCCCTCCACTGCTGCATTTAATATTGAAAGTATTAGTAACCATGTAAATCATTTTCGGGCACGAAAATGGCACTGTATTATGAATATATATTATACCGTACTATGAATGTATATATATATATATATATATATATATATATATATATATATATATATATATATATATATATATATATATATATATATATATATATATATATTTAATAGAGTTGAAGATTTGTAATCCAGGCATTTTATTAATTGAATAATTCTACAAATTATTTTGTTCTCTGGATTGTAATTTAAATGTTTTGAGCTTTCGACTCGGTATACTTCCAGCCTTCATCAGAAAGTTGGAATGTTTGGATTTTCGCGCTGTTCTCGTTCTTGAAGCCTTTGGGAACGTCTGATTGGTTGATCACGGATTTCGGCTGATGGATTGTTATTGGTTGCCATGGAGTGCGGGTGATTGCAATAATCGTGAGTTGATATTGAGAAGGAAGTTGCGGGTGGGTTAAAGGTTAATGAAGGCGAAACAGGACTTTTGTGTGAATGGTTTAGTTGTAAGTATATTACAGGAATGTCAATACGGCGGTTAAATGTTAGTTTATCTATACTATGTCACGCTTCTTTAATTAAACTCACGGGTATGTTTCGTAGTAGCTTGTTCTAGGCATCTCGTTTGAGACCGGTCAAATTTGTGTCCATTATCGTCTGCGTGCTTGCATGGCTAGGAGTGAATTATGGTCATGTCTATTAATGGCGTTTTGATGTTCGGTTAATCTTGTCTGAATTTTCTTAGACGTCTGTCCAATGTATTTGTCGGGGCAGTTTTTGCAAGTAAACATGTAAATGGCGTTATGTTTTTCGGTTACGTTTGTTTTGTCTTTATGATTAGTGAACCTGGATCTAAGTTTGCATGTCGGTTTGTCAGTGTGCAATGTCGATGCTGAACGGTCTGAGAAGTCTAGCTGTCATTTCCGACGTGGTGTTTATATAAGGAAGTGTGATCCTCTTTCTTGTTTGGCTTGGTTGGTCTGTGTTAGTTTGTTTCCTATGTGATAGTAATTTGTTGACAAAGTCCAAAGGGGTAGCCATTTTTGTGAAAAGTAGAGTATAAGTATTTGCGTTCGTCTTGTTTAGATTCCTCAGTGCATAAAAACACTTTTCAACAGAATTGACACGCACTGTAGCACTTTTGATTTTTTTAAATTCACCTGATGAGTGTGGCAAGACTCATCTTGTCATACGAAACAAATTTGTAGTGAAATAAATTTCATATGAAGTAATTCAACTTTGTCTTCTAATCTTATATATATATATGTTAGTGTCTCACGTATCTACACGTGTACCAAGCTGCACTGACGAGGCGTTGAACGCCGAAACATGCATGCATGTCTGCAGATTGTACTATATATATATATATACATATATATATATATATATATATATATATATAGAAATATATATATATATATATATAAGTTCATTTACTCGAGTTTCACGCCTATATTGGCGATCATCAGACTGCCTGTCCGTATTAAAACGTCCTTATTTATACCTATTTTAAACTATATAAAATTAGCATAAACCTTTACATAATTACAATTAAAATTATTTACGTTACATTACTAGCATAAAACTTGTTTTCATGTCGACATTTTGATATTAATTCTGATCGTTTGTTTAGAAGAGTTCCCTTGTGAGCGTTTAGAATTGCCATTTTTTCTGCCAGGCACAGTTTACAAACTCTTGTTCCGCTTGTATACGGTTTAGCCTGCTTCAAAATTGACCATTTAATTTCATAATCCCTTTTCGTTTTCTTCAGGGAACTCTTCTAAACAAACGATCAGAATTAATATCAAAATGTCGGCATGAAAACAAGTTTTATGCTAGTAATGTAACGTAAATAATTTTAATTGTAATTATGTAAGGGTTTATGCTAGTTTTATACAGTTTAAAATAGGTATAAATAATGACGTTTTAATACGGACAGGCAGTCTGATGATCGCCAATATAGGCGTGAAACTCGAGTAAATGAACTTAATTTTTTAATTTTTTTAATGTATAGTTGAAGTTCACATTCCAATATATATATATATATATATATATATATATATATATATATATATATATATATATATATATATATATATATATATATATATATATATATTTATTTATTTATATATATATATATTTACTACAATTGCCATTTTCACAAAACTTAACAATTTCAATTTTTGCATGCATTTCAACTTAATTTTAATTTCGGGTAATGTCCTAGTATAAGTTAGCCTTCATGAGAAGCGAAATAAGCATGAAACATTTAAAAATGTTCGAAAATCGAAAGCATATTTGACGTTTGAAACCACGATAAACTATTCGTAAAAACAATTGAAATCACGATAAACTATTTGTATCAACCCCGTAATTGTGGAGCTTCTTGTGACTTATTGTTTCAAATGCCTTCGCTAGATCAGTATAAACAACCGCTTTAAGCTTACCCTGATCTATATTTGCAAGCCATACATTAGTGGCATCTATTAGTGCAGTCGTAGTAGAGTGACACTTTCCATAAAGCCTGATTGATTCTTCTGTAAAAGGTTGTTTTCATTGAAATAGGTATAAAGCTGATTGATCACACTTAAAACCGAACTTGGTTTTTAATTCCCTACATTATCTTTTGCATCACCTTTGTATATAAGAGAGACGTTCCCTGATTTCCAGTCATCAGGGATTACTGCTGTTTGTATAGATAAATTAAAAATATCGCACAATGAATTCGAAACTATATGTGCAGAGAGTTTAAGTAATTTACACGGAATTTGGTCAAGACCTGTAGCTTTCACATCAGATTTGAGGAGTTTCATTCAATAACTTACTAAATACTTTCGTACCACAAGATGTGGCACTCTTCAGATAAATCTAAATATATATATATATATATATATATATATATATATATATATATATATATATATATATATATATATATATATATATATATATATTTATATATATATATATATATATATGTTTCGATATTTTTTGTTGAGTTTTTTTCTCAAGGTCTTGCTTACTTTATTTCCTTCCGCTCGTGAGCTCACTACGTGATCATAGTAATCAAACGTAGTGTCCAGGCCTTGTGACCCTGGATGGACACTTAAAAGGAAGGAAACCACACTGTAAACGTAAAGAATTTTATTCATTATTGATATTAAAATTACATAGTCGTGTGTACGGTTCGTTCCTCTACGGCCACGACCTCTTCTATTTCTTCCCATCTTCGCACACTATTTCAAACCTGGGAGAAGCATTGTAAGACCAGGGTTGTCTGCCAGTTATATATACTCTAGGCAATTCATAGTGCGACAGGTAGAAACAAAGGGTAATTATGCCACCAACAATAAGGTTACAGGTGTTTAAGTAAACAATTAGATCATTGCACTAAAAGTGCTCTAGTTAAATTAATAACGAGCATAATAGATTTCATATTTTTATGTCTTTGTTTGACATTCGACAAAGCAGAAACACTCGCTAAGTACGAGGCGCGCATAAGTAGGCGCGCATAGGCATAGGCGCTCGCATAGGCGCGCCTCGTACTTAGCGAGTGTTGCTGCTTTGTCGAATGTCAAACCATAGTTAATAGAAATAATAAACATGGTTAGGAAGGCCGGCAAACTTCAAAGGCTTAGCGCTGCGATGTTGACGAGGTACTTCCGGTTGTAATCGGAGTGCACAGCTTGCAAAACAATGAGTGTCAGATGACATGTTGCCATTATGGGTTTTGGGTTACAGTATTCGACACTTAGTGAGGAAACATATAGTTTGAATTGGGCAAATCTTGAAAAAAATGGACTCCGGTAGCGAAGAAGAAAGTGTTTTAGACGTTGGGGAAGAACAGTTATTTGAAGAGGACTTAGAAGTTGACGAATTCGCAGAAACTTTGAAGCTAATCGAATCGAACGCCGAAGAAATTGACCAGCAATTGTTGGACGCGATCAGCGAGGTTGGTGGTAATATTGTTCAAATGCTACTATATTCCATTTTGCCACATGGTTATATCATGGTTTGTTTCTTGTATAAATATAGGTAGAAGGAGCGAAACACTTTCAATGTCCAGACTGCCCAAAAGTTTGCAAGTCAAAGGGTGGTTTAACCAGGCATCGTCGAAGCAAACATCCTGATAAAGAAGAGCTAACAGTGGCTACTATAAACATTCCACCTATAAACATGGAGATTATAGCAAAAATCATTTCTGAAACTGTCGAGAAACTGCGAGAAGAAAACATTTATCCAAAGGAAATTCTCGACATTATATCCAAATTGAAGCCCAGTGAATCCTTTCTCAAGTTCATAACCAAGGTTTTTCGTTTGTTCTGCAGAAAGCTCAACCAGGATAGGATGCTGGCATTGTTTTATGGCGAAATAATCAAAGATTGGAGGGTGTACTTTCCGCCTTGTGACAATCAAAAGGCTATAAATATTTTGCTAATTCACCTCCCGCAAAAGTTGGTTGTCTATCACAAACAACTTGCAAGCAACAAGCAACGTGATGATCAGGTAAGGTGTACTGTCAATGTTATTTATTAATATATGATGTTTGTGCTACCGTGGTGCTACGTGGTGAATGTGTGGTAAATTTTGATTTGGGAGAATATATTAAAAACAGGAACTAAACTAGCAAAACCATGGCCATGCTAATAAAAAATACCACCTGAAATTACCAACACCAACCAAAAGTACAATAATGCTTCCTATTAACCGATTGAGTTGCATTGCACCCTACTTTATTATTTTACTCTGTCTAACACCAGATGATTTTACTTGTCAAGGGGAGAGCGCTGGTGCTTAATGGTTTAAATACATTAGGTCTGCTGGGCCTATGGCACCTCCTTTTGGGATGGGTAAATTTACACAATTACACTATAGGAATTTCTACAAATTCCCTTCAACAATCTGCCTTTAATAATTTTAGGGAGAAGATGAAATTGGTTTAAAACCAGAAGAAATTGGTCCTCTCTCCTATGTTACTGGGTATGTCCTGCAGTCCCTCTACAGGAAAAGTAAAAACTCAAAGCACTGGAACTCTCCTCGTAGTCAGGAACTGCAGTTTCTACTTCAGTCCCTAAAACTTGAGGAAACCAAAGAAGACCAATACATTCAGTCTTTATCAAGAGGCGGTCGTTGGACCCCAAATGAAACAATAAAAAACATTGCTAAAACAACAGAACTAATGTTTCGCCAGCACCTAAAATTGAACAAGAGTGCATCTGTTCCCACCGATAAAGTTGTAGACCAGGTTCTTGCAACACCTGCTGTGACAAGTTTATGGGAAAACATCATTACTGATTTGGATTCTCAAATTTCTTCTGAGTGCAACAAGCTTGCTCTGGAAAACTTTATTAAATTGTACGTTCAAGTCCGTAGCTTTTCCTATGCTAGAGACATAGTTAGTAAATACAAGCTGAAGGAGAAGGCATTGAGGAGCAAGGCTTTGAGAAAGGAACTGAAAAATGCAGATATTTTATAGATGTATAAAACTGTGGGCACTGAACTACAGAATAAAGACAAACAGAAGGTTGACTCAGCAAAAAAAGGCGTAACTGCTCCCACGCCATGATTCGTCATCAAAATGCTTACGCCATGGTCCTAACCAGTGTGCTTATGAGGTGCTCATTCTCCCTTCTGGATGTCCACCATTTTGAATATTATAAGCACACTGCCAGTGGTTAGGACCATGGCATCAGCATTTTGATGACAAATCATAAGTCGGGCTTCTGTATATATAGTCTCTATTATGTGACTGAGTGCTGCTTGTGGAGTATTTATTATAGGCATTAGTATAATTTCAGTATTGAAAAATGGCCTTTGAGCATTCTGATTGGCTCCATCAGCAGTAGCTCTGAGGTAATAGTTACTACTCTGAGCAGTAACTGTTGCTTTTCTCAAAAAATGGCTGAAAATCAAACAGGAGTAAATTATTTATTCGGTTTGTTTCAGCTCAGTGAATATAGGCTTGTAGTTGCCTTCAGCGATTAATTGTTAATTAAGTAGGCCAGTGGCAAAGCCAGCCTGGGAATTTGCTCATGCAATGCAAATTTTAAATCATTCATTTCTTTAGAAATTGAAAACATTTGCATAGCATGACTAAATTGTCAGGCTAGCTTTGCCACTACAATAGGCAGAGACTTTTTGTTAATAGAAGGCTCAATAGTTTATGAAATCTGAAACACTTATTGTAAATATTGTATATAGTAAACAAATTATTTTAATAATATTGATATTATTAGTGCATTTAACAATGGGACAGAATAAATATTTACACATAAAGGCAACTAAAGTCATGTTGAAATCCTTGAAGTTTCTGACCTCATGCACAGGACCGTAACTTGGCCTCATGCACAGGACTATAACCTGGGTATTATTACAGCTGGGGGGTGTGAGCTTATTTTGCCCGACAAAAAGGGCATGGTGGAATTCATGCCTGATGGACATTTCAGGTGCCCAAAATTGTTATTTTTCAAAAAATTATGTAAAATATTTTGCTGAATTACATTTTTTGTGCCTGATAAGTATGTCATTAAAATTGACAGACAAAACTGTAATGGGTGGGGGTGTCACCCCCCCCCCCCAATAGTTACGGCCCTGCTCATACATGTCGCCTCTGAATAGTTTCGGTCATAGTATTATTTATAATAGATGTTTACATGAGACCGGGATGAAAAAACTCAGACTGGTCTGAAGTCATTCCGCCTGCTGGACCAAGCCGACTGACTTCAGACAGGCATGAATTCAGACCGGGATGAATGTAAACACAAATACATTTCAGACCAGTCTCGGCTGTAACCTTGACATTGGAACAACATGTACCAGCTAACAAAAGCCATCTAGAAAAGAAAATTGCCTGGCAAGAGGAATAAATTGAAAATTTTGTGATTTTTGTACCGGTCTCATGTAAACATGTTGACTTTCAATTTTCATTCTGGTTTGACTTGGTCCCGGTCTCATGTAAACAGGGCCTTAGAATAGTATAGTGCGTATTACATACCCAATGATAAAAGATTACTTTTTACAACTTGCAACCCATTGAAGTGAACACTTTGTCAGACAGTTCAAAGACTTTGCTGTTTCAATATTCTTACTGTTGAGCCCAGTGTTTTTGAGTTTAAATACCAAATTATGAATAAATATTAAATTAAAAGAAGAGTTTTGTGGTATATACATATAGTATGCACACAGGTAATATTGTTTCATAATACATACATTCTTCCACACACAAGCTATTTGTTCTTTTGTGAAGACTTACGCTTTCTTTTCGGAAGAGGTTCTTCCGAGACTACTACCCATTTAGAGGATTCTCCTTTGTGCCGGCCCATTACATTCCCTCT